ACCGAAATCGCGGATCGCATGTACGAGAGGTCAACACCTCAATCTGTCGCTTCCACTAGCAGAATACCAGACACTCATGATAGAATACAGACTCTAGAACACAAAGTCGACACCTTACTGAATCAGTTAGCAAAACTGACCACACGCACACAACCAAGCCGTTCTAGAAGCTCGTCTCGTCGACGTCTTTCTCGGTCCCCTAGCGATAATATTTGCTGGTATCACCGTAGTTGTGGAAGCAAAGCACGACGGTGCCGTTCACCTTGCAACTTTCAGACTAAACCAAAAGATATATCGTCATGTGTAAAAAATACTGCTGGCAATCTAGGATCTAACAGTCGTTTTTTTATGTAACAGATAAAAATACCGGTACTACATTCTTAGTTGACACAGGAGCAGAGGTGAGTGTTCTCCCTCCGTCTACACAGGAACGTCAACATCCTGACCCAACAGTTACGCTCCAAGCTGTTAATCAGTCCAGTATTGTTACATATGGAAGTAAACGAATGCCTTTGGATTTTGGTTTAAAGAATACCTACACTTGGTCTTTCATCATTGCAGACGTCCCATCCCCAATCCTCGGTATTGATTTTCTACAGCAACATAAAACTGTTAGTTGATCCGATAAGCCCCAAGCTAATAGATTCGCTCAATAAAACGTACATTGCTGGTACGATTAGCCGTGCATCATCACTGAACTTGATGGTCACACGCACACCAGCATCTCCATATACCAACTTGGTAAATCAGTTTCCTGACCTTTTAAAACCTTTTCGAGGAACAGAACCGAAGCATCACGTGGTTCATCGTATTAAAACCACTGGACCGCCAGTTTTTGCACGTCCATGACGCCTTGACCGACATCGACTTAAAATCGCCAAAACAGGGTTCGATAAAATGCTAGAGCTTGGTATTATTCGACCATCCAACAGCTCTTGGTCTTCACCGCTTCACATGGTGCCCAAAAAGTCTTCTGGTGAGATACGGCCGTGTGGTGATTATCCAGCTTTAAACAAGCAAACGGTACCTGAACGATACCCAATACCACATATCCACGATTTCGCTAGCAACTTACCAGATGTTAAAGTTTTCTCTAAAATCGATCTTGTCAGAGCGTATCATCATATCCCCATCCACCCGGATGACGTTCCGAAAACCGCCATTACCACTCCATTTGGCTTATACAAATTCGTACGCATGCCCTTCGGACTTATGAACGCCGCTCAGACATTTCAACGCCTAATCGACCAAGTACTCCGTGGTCTACCTTTCGTCTACGCATACATCGACGACCTACTAATTGCAAGTGCAGACGAAGCCGAGCATTTGAAACATGTGAAGACTGTATTTGAAAGACTTAACCAATACGGCATGACTATCAACTTAGACAAGTGCGAATTTGGTAAGACCTCACTGAAATTCCTCGGTCATTTAATCGATAGCCAAGGAATCTGACCAGTCCCTGATGACGTACATGCCTTCAAAGATTATCCATTACCAGATTCTTTCAAGAAATTAAGGCGACTTTTGGGTCTCGTTAATTTTTACCGGCGTTTTATTCCGAACTGTGCTAAAGCTTTACAACCATTAGCCGATTGCTTACGTGGACATAGTCGTTCATTCCATTTGCCCGCAGAAGCTGTTAAAGCATTCGAAAATGTCAAACAATTGTTAAATGACAAGACACTCTTAGTCAGACGCCAAAATGACGCCCCCTTGTCTCTCATGACAGACGCTTCAGACGTTGCCATCGGGGCAGTTTTACAACAGCAGGTACACGGCGAATGGCAACCCCTAGCATTCTTTTCGAAACGACTGAATCCTACTCAATGTCGCTATGGCACTTTTGGTAGAGAGTTATTGGCTGTTTATTTAGCAATCAAGCACTTCCGACATATGCTGGAAGGGGCAGCTTTTACTGTCTTTACAGACCATAAAGCTCTTACGAAAACCTTATCAGCAAAACAGGATAACTACTCTCCGCGTGAACTACGACATCTCGAGTTTATATCTCAGTTCACCTCCGATCTGCGACATGTGAAGGGTAAACACAATGAAGTGGCAGACGCTTTATCACGTGTGCACATTGACAACATTGTATGCTCAGACATCGACTACGAACGTCTCTCAAACTTACAGCGAGATGATGCCGAACTAAAAAAGATCATGTCTTCTAAAACAACATCTCTAAAACTCGACGCAATTCCTTTTGGCATGACAAAAATAATCTGCGACACCTCTACGGGTAAATATCGACCTTTCGTTCCAGCAGCTATGAGACATACAGTATTCGAAAAGTTACATAACCTGTCTCATCCCGGTGTTAGCGTTACTATCAAACTACTAAAAGAAAGATTTATTTGGCCGAACATTAATGGCGATGTTAAGAAGTGGACACGAAATTGCTTGTCCTGTCAAAAAGTCAAAATCAACCGTCACACCAATGCACCACCTGGTCGCTTTCCTAACCCTGACTCTAGATTTGAACATATACATGTAGACATAGTTGGTCCACTACCTCCTTCCAATGGTTTCAGCTACACTCTAACTTGCATCGATAGATTCACTCGTTGGCCTGTAGCAGTTCCAATAGCCGACGTCTCCGCTGAAACGGTAGCTAAAGCTTTGGTCGAAAACTGGATAACCAACTTTGGTGTCCCATCCATCATCACTACGGACAGAGGTGCTCAGTTTGAAAGCCGACTTTTTCACCAGCTAACTGAATTACTGGGCATTAAACGAATACGAACAACCGCGTACCATCCTAGTTCCAACGGTATGGTTGAACGACTTCATCGCCAACTCAAAGCTGCGCTCGCCGCTTCTTTGACTCAAAACGACTGGTCAACCAAACTCCCACTGGTACTGCTTGGTATACGATCTACTCTAAAGAAAGATATTGGCTGCTGTGCTTCCGAACTAGTCTATGGAACAACATTACGATTACCAGGAGAATTTTTCACCCCGGGTAACTAAGTTCCACAAGATATGACTGGTTATGTGCACCAGCTAAAACAACACATGAACGAGCTCAAGATATCAATTCCACGCCAGCAGGAACGAACGTCATACATCCCACCACAACTGACAGATTGCACTCACGTCTTCGTCAGGAGAGAGGGTGTACAACGACCACTTCAACCCGCTTATGATAGCCCATTCAAAGTTCTAAATAGAAACGACAAAGTTATCACGATAGAACGACTGAATAAAGCAGAAGCCATCAGTGTCGACAGAGTCAAACCAGCGTTCATCGACGATTTCGAAGCCAACGATAAAGACCAGCTGAACGAAGTGCCAACACCTACATCCACGCAAGCTTCAACGTCGCCAGAGAAGCCTATGAAAACTACATGCTCTGGTAGGAGAGTTCATTGGCCTAAACGTTATGTGCAAATCATCAAAATATAACTTACTACGAATTTTCATTTTTATTATCTTTATTCGTAATTGTCATTTAACTACTCATTTAACTGATTAATATTTTCATACGTAAATCACGTCACTACTATTTTAACATCGATATTCCCTGTATTATTACATTTAATCATATAGCGCTTAATATTCACCTATCGTTTCCGTATACAGACTACAGATCTCCGGCCGATTGTATCATTCCGTATATATTCTACCGCGATCATCAATCCTATTTTTTCTTTTATTATCGCATTTATTATCGGCCTTATTGACCGCATTAAACTGCTCATTTTACAGCTTAATAAATCGCCTTCTGTGTACTGTCGCTGTTACGTAGTACGCTGATGTATGTTATTGTCGAACACTTAAATGTATTTTTTTATATTTCAGTGTTCTGGTGGGGGAACTATGTAGTACCCCTGTACCAACTATAAACATACGATTTTAATCTAACTTGCATACTCATATTATATGTTTACACATACCGATTTTATACGTACTTCGTAAACATTTGTCAATTTACTGTTGAACGTTACCTTGATACAATTTCGAAATTTGACTACTGCTACAATACACGAGTACACTCTTCACAAGTGCCTTCTGATTTTACGTTGTGGGCGTCGAGTAGCTACAACGTTTACGCACATTGATAAACGTGAAGAAGTGCTAGGAAATACGTGTACGCTAATTTAGTCTAATAGAACACGCAACAGAACTTCCAACACATTTGTCATACGTTGTCTTCTGTGTAAAGCAAATAATACACAAGTGACTCTCATTTCCACCCACCAACTGAAAGATATCAAACCTTAAAACTCTACACTTTTTTCATTAATATACCCAATAGTGTTCTTCTTGTAAGTGGATCCAATGCTTATCACATCTGTGAAATTTATACACATATTAGCGCGTTCCCTTAAACTGAAAAAACATAATGTCTATCTGATTTTATTACTGCTCTTTCAAAGCACACCTCAGTAACGGGCGATACGTATTAGCGGCATTGTTTACGCGAAGAAAAGTCTACCAATCAAGATGTGTATAAGTGACCTTCGGATGCTCAGCCTCTCCATAAGTCATTTAACACGCTATCCTCTTCCACTCACAGGTTCGCCACTATTTGTATCATAGGCTTTTTAAGGATTTAGATTTCGTCACCAGGTGACGATCACTGTAAACCAGGGAGCACCAGAAAACTGTCCCACACTAGTTAAGTACTCTTCAGTAATGTGCACTCGAAGCGCTGCCATGGATTAAACCGGGTACCTCAAGTTTATGGCCTCAAGTAGGGACGGGGAAGTGACAGCACAAAAACCTACCGAAGATATGGAATCCTTGACTTGAAACCAAGAAGAGAGGTCAAAGAAATCAACTAAGTATATGCTATCTCACGAAAAAGAGACCAGTTAGTCGGTATGAGGGACTTTACTGGTGCTACAAATACCCAAGCTCGTTTATTTTAATTTTACCTTTTCTATGTTGAGTTTAGAATCAACACCGAAAAGCGACTACCAAAAAATAGATAGTTTGGGTGAAGCTCTTCGGTTGTTTCCTGGATATTGGAAATCTGAACAATTTGCGTCCCCATTTTGATAGTACGTGCTACAGTTGAAAGCGTGATGGGTTTCCAGAAATTTGGGTCTCGAGGTGGTGGTGGACATGGCGGCTTTCGAGGTGGTAGAGGCGGTGGTCGCTTCGACAATTCAAACTCTGGTCCTCCAGAGGAAGTTATTGAGGCTGGCGTTTTCGCTCATCCATGCCAGGAAGATATTGTGTGCAAAATAACCTCTCAAAAAATCCCTTATTCTAATGCACCAGTATACCTCGAGAATAAAGAAGAAGTTGGAAGGGTTGACGAAATTTTCGGCCCTATAAAAGATGCGGTACTGTGCTTATGTAATTCTCTAATTTCGCCCATATAGTATTTTTCAATCAAGTTAGCTGACACATTGAAGAGTAAATCATTCAAGGAAGGAGTTAAAGTAATTTGATAATAACGCGTTATATGTTTCTTAGTTTTATATGGATCCTGCAAAGTTCCTAACTCTTGATCGTGTCCTTAATCCGAATTCTGGTAGAGGTATGTTGTTATCCTAGTCAGTATATATATTCACCACTTGATATCATTCACAGGATAGTAACTCATAGTTTGTGACTGTTATGCAAATTCCAGTTACAGTGACATCTGTCTTCATCTTCGTGTCATCTCAATGACATTCACGATGTTTACATGTTTACATAGCATTATCATACAAAATTGTCACCCATATGTAAATAGACAGTGTTCGTTGTGCACCTGTCTAATCCCAGTTCAGTTTTGCTCATCAAATGTAGCACTCCTTAGACTTTAACTCTGACTAATCCAATTTGGCATGCTTTATAATATCTACCCTATAAGTAGTGGTGGTTTCATCCAAGTTTCCATTCTCGACAAGTCACTTTTTCTGTTACCAATTTGAATGGGACATTAGTCATTCGCAGATGACCGACTTCTTAATATCCATGTAAGCCTTAAATCGTGATTGAAATAGCCTAATACAAGTATGAGTGTGAGTCATCGAATCAAAGTTTACATCACTTAGTTAAAAGAACAGTAGGGTAGTAAGACAAGACAAACTCTTGGAACACCAGCGCTCTGAATACAATCTTCTTGTATCAACATATTTTTATGTCTGAGAACACATCTCCAAAGACTATATATATTGCAAATACCTGGCTGATCTCAAAGAATTAAAAAGTGATCAGCTTTATTTACAAACTTGAGTGTTACGATATTGATATCAAGTTAGTTCTAAGAACATGATACGCTACTACATTAGATTAGCACTTGTTTTAAAAAGATAGCTTGTAGACTTGTCTTTATGTTTACTTGTAATTGACGTAAATAGCCCTGAATTATTCCTTGGTGTATATTGTCTTTGAATGTGCTAAACCATTTTCAACTTTTTTCCACTATTATGCAGAGTTTTGTGCTTAAAATCTCATTATCCCATCCTATTAACTCCATCTTCTGAAAACAATAGGGCGTGGAGGTGGGCGAGGTCGTGGAGGTCAAAGAGGTGATTTTAGGGGCGGCCGAGGAGGTAATGATTCATCAAGGGGCCGTGGTAGGGGTGAATTCAGAGGTGGTCGTGGTGAATCTCGTGGAGGTCGTGGTTTTCCAGGACGTTGGAGTGATAGGGGTGGTCGTGGCAATCGTGGTGGTCCTCGAGGTGGAAGAGGAGAATCTAATGGTTATCATGGTGGTGGACGTCACTCATTTGGAGATAAACGCAGTGGAAGTTTCACTGCTTCAGATACTCCTCAAAGCAAAAAATTTAAGTCAGAAGATTAGGTTGCTCTCTGTTTTTGTACAATACAACTTTATACTGTATAATAAATCTTTTCAAATGTTATCTTCATTCTCTAGTTGTAATGTAGTTGCCACTATTTCTCTTGGTTACACGCGTTGTTATTTATGCTTGTCGGTGCAACTCTGAATCGGTTTCTTTTCGGAACCCTTTCCAGCCCTTGAGCTATTAACTTGACGCATTTCGCACACTATAATGCGATATACTGGCTGGAGCAAATAATTGTGAAAGTCCACTTGTGTGAGAGATGTAGTGTTTATAGGGTGTACGTTACTTGACAGTCGCAGTATCAAGTATCCGACACCAAACTATGTTTAGGAAGTTGCCGAAGGACAGAGCTGTAATCTCCGTTGTTTTCCGTTCTTATTTAATTCCATTATAGATTTAATGGTCTGTTTGATCTTGATCTTCTTTGGTATCACAGTGATCGACTTGTTTTCAGGGAAAAACCTTGTTCCAGAGTATGCAGTCCACTATGTTCAAGATGCTTAGTAATATGATTGTCTTTTCCAAATGTGTCCCCTGAAGATAGGAAATTTAAAATATATGAGGCAGTCACCATAATGGTTCACGTTCAATATGGCACAAAATAATAAGGTTAGCCGTCAAGTGGTAGATAGGAAGTGTAAATCCACCAACCAGGTTGTGAAACTTCATCGATTGAAATGACTAGAAAGTGTTACATATGATGGGTGACCACTGTCCTTGACAAGGAGTGTAGGCTGAAGTCAGATAGAGTTGAGAAAGAGGTAGGGGTGGCCGAATCAAAACGTGTCACCAGCTCACTAATTATTTGACCATTAGTTCTAGCCACGTTGATGAATGCTTTGACAGTTTTGATAGGGTGCTCAGGACACAAAGAATGAGTGGTTTTGGATTATTGCTGATATGGTTTAAAATTATTCACCATGGAGCAGATGTACTTTTCACTGGTCTTCGTCTGATGGTTCTCTCTTCAGGATGCTTCCGTCTAGTGCGATTTCGTCACATTTTCTCTACTAATATGAACTCATGTATTTTTGTATAGATTCTAAGGTTGGTTATTCAATCGGTCGCCTTCCATAGGAGACATATAGGTTTTATCTCTGGGCGACGCGCTGGAAAACCCTACCTAACCGATAGTGAGTGTGGTAAAGAGTGAAGGTTGAGCGTACGATTACCGATCCCACCCCACAAGAAAAATACCACCGGTGCTAGAACTTTTAAGCTCAAGCTCTGAGCCCTATGTCCGACTCGGTACGCAAAGGAATGAAGAAAAGCAGAACATTTGAAAGACTCATGTAGTTATTCATATAACATGGGACAGGTAATCTAACAACATTAATATTTTTTACGACCTATTATTTTCCAAGTGACGTTCACCACTTTTCGTTGTGAATCACTTAGTCTAGACTATGTCGTATCTGACATAGTGCTTTCATTAATTAACGTATTATGCTGATAAAGTGGATTATTGATTCGAAAGCATTACGGACCGCATGTTGAAGTGTGATACAAACAATGAAAAACTAGTTCACTCTGTTGAAGTCTAGTTCAATAATGTTTCACCCTAGAAGATTCAGTTCTTAGCTTGATTGATCTTAGCAAGCCGATTCTCCAATGTACTTAATTTTTCAGGATACAATTCTAACATCAGCAGTCACGTGTGTGTAACTTGCTTGAATTGTTTTTTACTGCAATATGTATAACACCCTTTTCCAATATATTGGCTACCTGTCTTTGATCACAGACGTTTGTGTTCTGTCTTCCATCTCAAGTGATATGATACTATGAGCAATATTGAGGTTAGGTGTAGTGTCAGGTAAGACAGTCGGTGAGGTTGTGGAACTACATCGATTAAGATGGTTAGGATACGTTTTGCGCCTAATGAGCCATCACATTCCTCGATGAGTGATGTTAGCTTCCGTAGAATAGGGTTGAAAATGAGTTCGAGGTGGTCAAACTAAAACCTGTCATCAATCCATGAAGTCTTTGCCAATTGGTTTAATCAATGTAAGCGGGTGAAGACTGCAACAATTGGACATCTGGTCGACATTGGGCACCTTAGTTATGCTATCTCTTCCTGTAAAGTTAATTATAAGGTAGGAAACAACCTGCAAAAATCGTCATGTATCTGACTCATCTGTATTGGTGAACACTGGACATCAAGATAGGGAAGCTTGAGCTCAGTATATAGGAGTTTGCTCAACTACTCATTGTTCCGTAGTCTTAATCCCTCTGCGTTAAATTACCATATAATTTTTACCTTGGCCTTATTTAATTTTCGTATTGTTAAACTAATCTGTATATGCATTCCTTGTATTCTATCACTATTATTTTCACTTTGAATTATTTCCCATTTTAACTCACTTGTCATCCTTTATTTATTTAATATAATTTGTTTCAGTATTATCAAAATGCTAACCTAGTCACGTGGTCTTAAATAGTTCTACACCCCTTTCTAAGTTTTATACATTCCATGGACTATTTGTAGACTATACAACTTACTGTGTTGCTTGATGTGTAACTATGATTGTAATCGCGATTATCTTGTCAGAATTCACATTATTATTTCAAAAAATCATATATATATGTATATGTATATTATTGTACAACTTGGTAGGGAAGCCAATGGAAAGAGTCTCTTCTCTGAATCGCTTTTTTTCATTTTCTTCATGTTCCAATGGCAATTTTTCTTACAAATTTAGCAGATCATCAAAAATCTATGCAAGTGACTACTCCAAAAACAGAGTCCAACTGAAAACCTTGTAAATTTCTATGGCGATATTTAAGTTTCCATAAAAGCGATACCTGAAAAGGGTTCAAAGAAAGACTTATTAAACATATGCAGAGCTCTGATTTATCTTAGAAAAGTTTGCTGAGAAACGAGTTGATTTTAGAGTTTTTGATATGAGTTGAGAACTAATAATAATAACTCGCTTTCTTCCAAAACAGTACTTATGATACAGTGTCGAATTTTCAGCATTTGGTACAATATTGTATCTGATTTACTCGTCAACAGCAGGAACAAAAGTAACATTGCAGAGTAAATGTAACAAGTTGATAATACCAGCTTTTTGGCATTAGCAGTGACAATAGAGTCAAATGTACAGAAGTGGGAGAAGGTAAAGGAGCGAATTATTTTGTTATTACGTAGTCAGTTATAGGTTTCACGCTCAACACTATCTCTGTCACATGCAGCACAGGCCAAATAGGGTATCATTGAGTTTTTGTACCTAGTTGTGCAAGCATATAATCTTTTGTAATGACTTCTGGTCCTACCTGATGAGATGCAAGAGGGAGTTATGAATAAAGAGGGTGTTTTGAGAGTCAGAAAATATGATTTTTGACATGAGTGCAGGTGTCTGTCGACTACAATAGTAACGAACTGACTTAATGGCACACTACTTGCCCTACTAACAACTTTTAGTACCCTTCGCAATATGACATTGTCATTTGTGAGTAGTCCGGCAGAGACTATGGGGAAACAATAAAGAACAATAGGTAAGATACAGGACCTAACAAATTGTGAAAGTAGGGGTTGAGTGATTCCTGACTGTTGTAACTTCTTGATGTAGTTGGTTAGACATAACAATTTCCTAGGAATCAACAAAATAGGATAGAACTATCCTAAGGTATCTTTCGCTTGACTTAGTTTCTTCGTATTTCAGTGCCCTCTATGCCGCAAGTGTCAGTAGGAGCTGATTTAATAAAAGCCATCTGGGTACATAGTCAAAAGCAGACGTATATTCAAGGAAGGTAAACTGAACATATTTGGCTCCTTTTTATAAACCAGATATTATATTATTATTATTATTATTGTACCCTTGGGTTCCTAGTGGAACATAGGGCTTCAACTGCACGCCTCCACTTGCTTCTGTTTTCTGCTGTACTTTTCACTTGCATCCATGTTATTCCATACTGTTTCATCTCCTCCTCACACGATCTCCTCCATGTCACCCTTGGACGTCCCACTCGCCGCTTCCCTTCCGGGTTCCAATCGAGGGCCTGACGCGCGATGTCACCCAACGGCCTCCTCAGCGAGTGTCCAAACCATCTCCACTTTCTCCTGCATATTTGTTGGGCAATTGGTTCTTGTTTTGTTTGTTTCCATAGTTTCTTGTTGGTGATTCTTTCCGGCCATCTAATCTTCAGTATGGAGCGAAGACAGTTGTTGATAAAGGTTTGCAACCTGTTGAAAATATTCTTGATGACCCGCCAAGTTTCTGATCCGTATAGAAGAACTGACTTGACGTTTGTATTGAAAATCCGAATTTTGTTGTTGATGCTGAGTGACAAAGATTTCCAGATTGGTTTCAGGTTGATGAATGTGTTTCTCGCCTTCCCGATTCTCGATTTGACATCCTCGTCCGTTCCTCCTGTGGTTGAGACAATGTTCCCTAGATAAGTGAATGAAGTAACCTCTTTCAAATCCCTTCCGTTGATGGTGATTGGCGCTGGATGTTGCTGCTGCTGTTTTTATTGTTGGTTGGTTGGTTATTTTCATAACCTCCGTCTTGTCTATGTTCACCTGCAGTCCTGTCTTTGCTGCTTCTTCGACCAGTTTGTCGGTTTTCGCTTGTAAGTCTTAGATTTTGTGTGACATCAAACATAAATCATCCGCAAAATCCAGGTCTTCTAGGTTCTTCACGTCGGTCCAGGATATCCCTGTCTCCTCGTTTCCCACTGTCTGACGCATGATCCAGTCCACCACAATTAGGAATATCATTGGTGATAATAAGCACCCTTGTCTGACTCCTGTGTTTACTCCAAACATCTCGCTGAGTTTTCCGTTGTGGATCACTTGACATGTGTAGTTGTCGTACAGTTGTTGAATAAGGTTGATGAATATTTGGGGTACGCCGTAGTACTCGAGTAGTTTCCAAATTACTTCGCGGTTAACGCTGTCGAAGGCCTTCTCAAAGTCTATGAAGTTGAGGTAGAGATTTGATTGCCATTCCATGCTTTGTTCGATGATAATGCGTAGAGTTGCAATTTGGTCAGAACATGATTTGCCTTTCCTGAATCCAGCTTGTTCTGGTCGGAGTTCTGTATCCAGTGCGTCCTTGATTCTCTCCAGGATGATGCGACTCAGGATTTTACTTGGCGTCGACAGGAGCATGATTCCTCGCCAGTTCTTGCAGAGTCCTAAGTTGCCTTTCTTTGGTAGTTTCATCAGGTAACCTTTCCTCCTATCAGTAGGTAACTTTCCCTCCTTCCAGACCTTTTGCGATCATGGAGTCAGCATATCTGCTGTCGTTTCTGGGTCCGCTTTCAGTGCTTCCGGAGGTATTCCATCTGGTCCAGCTGCTTTTCCAGCTTTCAGAAGCTTGATTGCATTCATGACTTCAGTTTTCGTTGGAGGATTGGTGTCAACTTGCAGTTGTGTTCGTGCTGTTGTTGGTATTACTGGACGGGTTGTAGGTGGTGGTCGGTTCAAGAGTCCTTTGAAGTGGTCCACCCACTGTTTAATCTGTCTTTCTTCCTTGGTAATTGGGTTCCCTTGGCTGTCTTTTATAGGTTTCACTTGTGTTGATCTCTTCCCGGATAGAGACTTGGTTATCTGATATAGTGTCCTCAGGTCCCTTTTGCCTGCTGCCTTCTCAGCTTCAGTAGTCAGGTTGTCGTAGAATTGTCTTTTGTCCTTCCTGGCACTCTTCTTCACTTCTTTGTCCAGTGCTGTGTAAGTCGAGCTCAGCGTCTCCTTCTCTTGTCCATCTTTGCATTGAATCATTTT